ATCACTACATTTCCACACTTCCTTTTTAGTTTTTATTCGTTATCTACTTATTAGCCATCCACACAGTGCAAACCTTCTGTCTATTTTGTAATTTGATATAAATGGAAGGTTTAACCTTTTAATTGCTGTTCCAATAGAGTCATTTTTCCATCCTTACTGCTGAATTCGAGCTTCTTATGTATAATATTCTGCCCTCAATTTAGGGCAAGGAAGCTTTGAATACGCCTTCTGCAACACACATTTCGAACACAAAAAGACTAAAACAGGGAATTCAAATGGCAATCCCTTGGGGAAAATAAATCACCAATCAACTTGTACACCTTTATATGTAATGTGGTTGTCAGGGGTTCGGAAACGCTTAGAGGTACAAAAATGCACCCACTATAGAGGTACACCCTCAGAATGCCATGTCACTGAACCACTCAATTGTACAATCACTTGATAACCCAGCTTACTGGCAATGTTTAGAAGTAAAGCCCTATGATGTCTCAGCACAATTACATTCCCTTGCTGCTTCGTAAAGGTCGTGGTCACAATTCTATGAACAAAGATGCAGGTGCCTTGCCTATCTTGTGCTCCAGCTCTGCATATCCATCCTCTCAGCAACAATAAAACTCACCACCAATGGCCGCCAAACAGAACTCCCCTCCTCTGGTGAGCCCAGTGAGAAAGGGAGGACCGGGGAACTTGGTGTGTCTTACCCAGCCACTGGCAATGTCCAAAGCAGCCAGTCTGGTGGGTAGACCAGCCCATTTGACAGGCTACTTTGTCCCTGGTTGCTGTTGATTTGGTAGTAAGCTCGGGCCCCCTTGGAACATGGAGGGGTGCAAGCTTGCACCTTGTTTACCCCGTCTCTCAGGTCTTAGTGAGTCACTGTTGTAGTGCACAGTGGATCGTTTTTACACAGCGAGCTACTACAAGTAACTGTGATAATGGCCAGTTCATCTGTTATTTATGTATTGTTTGAGGGAAACTATTGCTCAGAACTGTAAGAAAAGCCCTCTGTCCCTTTTCAAACTAGTACCCTGGCATCTTTTCTACCCACCTGGGACAATTAGACGTTTCCACCTCCAAGAGTTTCAGCACGCTGCTGGAATTGATGCATCCCCTGTCTGGTGACTGGAAGTGTTCTAAGTGCAACAAGTCTTGGATGTATCAGTCTAGTTCTGACTGGGAATGAGCCACCAATGATACTTGGCAACTTTACTCAAGCTTAAGGAGCATGAATGGGGCAATGAGAAAACTGTCACATTGGAAGGATGGCTATTTGAGGCTGGGGAGGAGGTGTGTCATACCTGCCTTGGATTTACTTGATCTGGGAATGCTTAATGCCTAAAATGCAAAGTGTTTCAATTCCTAGCTCTGACACGCACTCTGATGAGCATGAAAGAAGAAAGTCTGCAGAATTTCATGTGAGTGCTGAAGGAGACTGACAACAATAAACTGTGTAACTTTAATATCAAATTTTAGGAGGTTGTGAAGGAGATGAATCGATTGGGAATGATAATAGATCTGTCACACACTTCCAGTGACACAGCAGAAATGGTCCTTAAAATCTCCATGGCACCAGTTATCTTCAGTCACTCGTCTGCTTATGCTATCTGCCAACATTACAGGAATGTTCCAGATGAACTTCTCAAGATGATTGTAAGCAATTTAAACTCAATTTTATGATGACTTTTCTCTTTAATAATTGTTCAGAGAACACAATTTACAAGTTACTGATGTTATCATGTTATTCCAGGATCAGTGATTTACACTTACAGAGGAGAAATTACCACAGCGTGGCCCAGCAGGTACCACTGTAAAACCTGGTAATACATCGAGTGGAAATGCTTCCTGAATTTCTTCTGTTCGGCCACAATACCTTCACTATGAGTGCAACCTGTTCACACCACTAAACTTTGCATCTTATGGCAGCTCATTTGTTCTGGCTTGCCTATGAGAACAAAGCTGTTATAATACAGATTTTGTAAAATGTGATATGTCAGTGTTGGGTGGTTTTACTTTTATTTATTCATGGTATGTGAATGATGCAGCTAGGCTAGAATGTATTGTCTATCCCTAGTTAGATTGTGGTGAGCCGTCATCTTGGACTACTGCAGTCCCTCAGGGTGGTAGGAACACCCACAGTGCTGTTAGGGAGGGATTCTGAGATTTTGACCTAGTGACAGTGAAGGAAAGCTGCGATAGTTCCAAGATAGGATACCATGTGCTTGGAGGGAAAACCGCAGATGGTGGTGTTTCAATGCATCTGTTGCCTCTGTCCTTCCAGGCAGTAGAGGTTGCAGGTTTGGAAAGTGTCTACGAAGGAGCCTCTCTGAGTTGGTACAGTGCATTTTGTAAATGGTACTCACCATTGTCACTGTGGTGAAGGGTGTGAATGTTGAAAGTGCTGGATGGCGGGCTGCTTTGTCCTGGAGGGTGTTGTGCATTCATCCAGGCAAGTGGAAAGTAGACTTCTGAAGTTGCTGGACAGGCAGGGGAGACAGGAGGTGAGTTACTCACAGCATACATTAAGTGCTCCTGTAGCTACAGAATTTATATGGGTGCTCCAGTTCAGGTTCTGATCAATGGCAATCCCTGAGATGTTGATAGTGGGGGATTCAGTGATGGTAACACTATTGAGCATCAAGGGGAGATGATTAACTTTTTTATTGTTTGAGATGGTCACTGCCTGGTACTTGTGTGATGCAAATGTTACTTGTTACTTATTAGTCCCAGCCTGGATGTTGTCCACGTCTTGCTGCATTTGGACATTGGTTGCTTCAATATCTGAGGAGTTGTGAATTGTGACCACTCCTGACCTTATGATGATGAAAAGGTCGTTGATGAAATAGCTGAAGATGGATGGGCCTAGGACACTACCCTGAGGAACTCCTGCAAAGATATCCTGGACGTCAGATGATTGACTTCCAATAGCCAAAACCATCTTCCTATGTGCCACGTATGACTTCAACCAGCAGAGAGTTTACCTCCTGGATCCCATTGATCCAATTTTGCTTGATGCCACACTCAGTTGACTGCAGCCTTGATGTCAAGGGCTGTCACTCTCACCTCCTTTCTGGAATTCAGCTGTTTTGTCAATGTTTGAAACAAGTCTATATTGAGATCAGGAGCTGGGTGACCCTGGTGGAATACAAACTGGCCATCACTGAGCAAGTTATTGCTGAGCAGATACCATTTAATAGCACTGGTGACACCTTGTATTACTTTGCTGATGATCAAGAGTAGACTGACAGTGTGGTGATTAGCTGGTTTGGATTTGCCCAATAAGCATTCTTGAGGAATTTTCCACAATGCCAGTTAAAAGCCAATACTATAGCTATGCTGGAATAGCATGGCTCAGGACATGGCTATTGCTAGAGCACAAGCCTGCAGCTCTATTGCTGAAATGAAGTCAGGGTCATAGTCTTTGCAGTATCCAGTGCCTCCAGCCACCTCTGGATATCACGTGGAGTGAGTCAAATTGGCTGAAGCCTGACATCTGTGATGCTGGGGACCTCAGAGGAGGCTGAGATACTTGGCTGAAGATTGTTGTAAAAGCTTCAGCCTTATCCTGTTGCACTGATGAGCTGGGTTCTCCCCGCTCATGTAGGATGGGGATATTTGGGGAGCCTCCTGCTCTGGTTAGTTGTCTACTTGTTCACCGCTATTCATGACAGGAGAATTTAAATTTGATCACTACGTTGTGGGATTGCTTACCTCTGTCTGTCACATGGTGCTTCCATTGTTCTCGCATGCAAGCAGTCCTGTGTTGTAGCTTCACCAAGTTGACACCATATTTTGATTGACATATGCCTGGTGCTACTTCAGACATGCCTTCCTGCACTCTCATTGAACCAGGGATGGTCTCCTGGCTTGGTGGTAATGGTAGAATGGATGGTATGATGGATTGTGAGGTTACAGATTGTGTACATGGTTAGATTCATGCTCATAACAGCAGGAGGCAGTTCAGCCTTTTGAGTTCATACCACTGTCAAGCAACCGAGTTAATTCCATTCCCCCTCTTGATGCCCTTAGCCCTGCAAGGTCAGTTTGCTGAAATGCCCATCTAATTTTCTTTTGAAATTATTAATCGCTCTGCTCCCACCACCCTCATAAGCAAAATCCCAGATCACTATCGCTTACCGTGTGAAAAAAAGCTCTTTTCTGTATCTCTTGCCCAAAATCTTAAGCTATGTCTACAGGTTACTGTATCATGGGCTACAGAGAACAGCGTTTTGTCTAATTTATCTAAAACTGTCATAAATTTGTACACATCAATTAAAGCACTCACCACCCCCACCACACCCCCCCCTCCCCTGTTCCCCGTTCCCCCAACTTCCTCTGCTTCATTGAGAAAAACCTCAGCTTTCCTAATAAAACTTTGTAGTTAACATTCTTAATCCCTGGAATCATCCTGATGTATTTCTTCTGCACTGCAGTGATTGTTCGGTGCATCATTGCTATGCCAACATGCTGCTGCAGTGGTCACATCCCCACACAGAGAGTTCCTGTTCTCAGTTGTCTTATCAGAAGGAAGATGTGAAATGGGAGGCAGCCGATGTTCACAACAAATGAAGAAACATTGGAAACGTTGTCCCAGCCATCCTAATCTCTCAACTAGAGAATCCAGGAAATATGAAGATTATGTCAAAAATACCCACAACTTTAAAAATGAGAATTAAATAAGGAATTATGAGTTCAGATCAGTTGTGATTTTCTTTGCGACATGTTTTTCAGAAAGAGAACAAAGGCTTAGTAATGGTGAACTTCTACTCTGGTTTTGTGGCCTGTCAGAAGCATTCCAATATTTCTAGAGTTGCAGGTAATTGATTTGAACAGTTGTACTGAGATAAAGCAATGGTGTTATGCTATTCTGCCCCAAAGCCCTTTTAAAAGGTATACAGTCTTTGATATTCCAATATTTGCAGTCAAGTTATAAAATTGTCCCTTTGAATGAAATAAATCACTTATGCACTTGCTCACAAATGTTTCAGGGTGGAAGAACTCACGGGATACTAAGAAGATGTGAAGAAAAGCTATGCTTTAAATTTAGTTAAATATCTTGAGATTAAAACGAAAGGTCACATCCTGTAAAATGTGGAACATAGCCTCCATCATTTACTTGTTGTTAAGTAGTTTTTCTTTAATGGAGTGAAATATGCATAGGGAGTCAGCAATCTGCACAGAACAGATAGGGAAGAAAGGGTTTTTATTCAGGAAAAGATTGAGAACAAGACAGCACACACCTAAACTAATTGGTCGAAGAAGCAAAAGGGACATGATGAAAAGCTTTTTCGGTCAGTGAGTGGTTAAAGCCTGCAATACATTGGCTGAAATTGTGGTAGGGTTAAGTTCATGTGAAGCATTCTTTCAGGGAACTAGTAATTAGAAAATGGAAGAATGATTTCGGCTTCAGGCAGAATGACACAAAGTGATTTGCTCATTCGGAGCATTATTGCAGTCACAACAGTAGTATTGATTCTGTGGTTCTATGAACTTAAGTCCCTGATCAGGTAGAAAATCATATTTGAGGGATTGGTATAGGATGAATTGAAAAACTAAGCATTATGCTAATCAGTGCAGATTACATAGAAACTTAAAAATTTCAGGATACACAAAGAGGACATTTGATTCACCATGTTCATGCTGGCCATAAACAGCTAGCAATCTAATCCACCCTCAAAGAGAGAGGTCGATATACCTCAGGCCAAGGCCTGGGAAAAGGGGGCTACATCAAGATCCAATAACCAGGGTTGGAGGTTCTAGGGAATTCCTGTTTTGATTGGGGCCTGAGATTTCTGTTCCCTGCTCCTGATTAGACCTGCAGGTAAAATACTGAGACTGATTAATAATGGATTATAATGAATGGCTGGGACCACCTCCACATAGCTGTGTTGCTGTATTAAGGGTAGAGGAGAGTGGAGCAAGTGCAGAGTTTCTGTCCCCACTGAGCTGTAAATCAACCTCAATTCCACGTCACAGTATCTGACATCATAGTCCCTGTCTTAATAAAGAGAACAAGATCTGAATTTGGAAAGAAAGAACACACAAGTGTTGTATTGGGGAAGTGGTTTAACTGGTTTGAAGAGTTAGAAATGACTCCGGTGCAATGGGCTGAATAGTTTCTGGCTGTCCTGTAAACTCTGTAAGAGCTGGGTCTGTAAGAGCCGTAAGTTGTTACAAGCAAATTAAAAATCTGAATTTTTATCCTCAATGATAGCAAAAATCAGTATGCATTTTGTTAAAAACAAATGTACTTGCTTTTGATTTCTTTGTGTTAACATTTTGAATTTTGAACCTTACTGAGGATACAGTTGGAATATTGAACCGTCATGTCACACTTGATGTTACAATTTGTGCCTTTTCTTACAGATCATTTTGACTACATCAAAAAGATTGCTGGATACGAGTCAGTTGGAATTGGTGGAGACTACGATGGGGTCACTGGGTTTGTATTCAATTGTAATCCAACAGTTACTTCTTCTTTTGATATGTTGCCTAATATCGCCTGACAATTATGGTGGGTTGCAGGTTCCCACAGGGTCTAGAAGATGTGTCCAAATATCCTGCCCTCATTGAGGAATTATTGAGACGCAAGTGGACAAAAACTGAATTAAAAGCTGTTCTTCGATACAACTTTCTGCGGGTTTTCCACAGAGTAGAAAAGGTAAGAAGGCTTACTATGAGAGGTTGGAGGGCTGGATTACCTTGTCACTGTTTGTGTTAGTTAAATAATAAGACTTCTGCTGAGAATCAAAATTGTCAGAAGAAACCAGCATTAGGAGCAAACTTCAACAATGAAAACATATCCTTCCTTCTTCCAAACCTCATACATCATTGCAGTGAATGTGGAAATGTGCAGTTGTATACAACATAACTACCTTGAGTGGTAGGACTCAACCCGCAGTCTCAGCAATATTGAAGAGTGAAGGAAAAGTCGAAGGGTGAGGCAATGTCAACAAGTGCTCAGCACAAGGTAGTATTTTCAATGACTTAGTGGCAGTCTCTTGTCTGGCTGTGAGACATAACAAGCAATTGTTACTAAAAGAAAATTACAAAAATAATAGGATAGAAATACAACAACACTTTCAATCGACACAGTCTTTTTTCTCTCTTATCTGGATAAGCATCTATTAACCTGTAAATACCTGCAACATTCTCCAGTAAGACCCAATTAAAATGAACAACACTATGTCTGAGTTTCAACTACTTAAGATCAAGAAGTATAGCAGAAGGGACATATGTCCAGATCCACTGGAAATATTTTCATTGGAAGGATGGGTGGGAAGCATTTCAAAGGCTGTTTTAAATTTTAAACACAGCTCTGGCTGGAATTATTTTCTGTTCAATAAAAATGAGCATAATATTCTCTTTGCTACTGAGCAGTTTTAAAAAATTATAAAGAAACTTGATTTGACACTCCTTTCCCCGATAAAATAGATTTTGTGTGGTGCTATTGGGAGAAAGAAATTGAAGATAAATAATGAATTTCCAAGTGACAACTTGGGAGTAGTTTTAAATAAAGTTAATGAAAACACTTTCCTTTTAAATCAAAGCCTTATGTTCATTGTAAATTCCAAATCTCTGGAAGTAGCACTAAATAAAATCAAAATTGAAACCTTTTCTTGTCAAAGTGGGAAACAATCCTGGATATTTCCTCTTTGAAAATAAATATTGCATCATCAACACTTGAACATTTTATTTTTTTCTCTCTAATATGTTAGTGAAGCAATGCTACAAAACGTTACTGAGAATTTACTGTACATAGACAGACCATTGGTTCAACTGGTCCAAGCCCTTACCAATCTGCTGGCTGCAGATGCATCTGTCCATGACAGTATCTATAAGAGTGACCACTGCACAGTCCTGTAGAGATGAAGTCTCATCTTCACGTTGGAATTCTCTCCATCGTATTATGTAGCATTATCACCATGCTAAATGGGACAGACTTCAAACAGATCTAGCAAGTCAAGACTGGGCATCTGTGATGCACTGTGGGCCGTCAACAGCAGCAGAATTGTACTCCAGCACAATCTGTAACCTCACGGCCCGGCACATCCCCCACTCAACCATTACCATTGAGCCAGGGGATCAACCCTGGTTCAATGGTGAGTGCAGGAGGGCATCCCAGGAGCAGCACCAGGCATGTGTAAAAATGGGGTGTCATCCTGGTGAAGCTACTAAACAGGACTACATGCAAGCCAAACAGCATAAGCAGCAAATTATAGACAAAGCTAAGCAATCCCACAGCCAACGGATTAGATCTAAGCTCTGGAGTACTGCCACATCCAGTCGTGAATGGTGGTGGACAATTAAACATTTCATTGGAGGAGGAGGAGGCTCCACAAATATCCCCATCCTCAATGATGGAAGAGCCCAGCACATCAGTGCAAAAAATAAGCCTGAAGCTTTTGCAGCAACCTTCAGCCAGAAGATCCATCTCGGCCCCCTCCAGTTGTCCCCAGCATCACAGATGCCAGTTTTCAGCCAATTCAATTCACTCCTTGTGATATCAAGAAACAGTTGGAGACATCGGATACTGCAAAGGCTACAGGCCCTGACAACATTCCGGCAATAGTACCGAAGACTTGTGTGCCAGAATTTGCCACTCCCCTAAAGAAACAATCTAGAGAATCATCTAGGTATGCACAAAAAGCGGGATAAATCTAACCTGGCCAATTTCTGCCCCATCAGTCTGCTCTCAATCATCAGTAAAGTGATGGAAGGTGTCATCATCAACAGTGCTATCAAGCAGCACCTGCTCAGCAATAACCTGCTCAGTGATGCCCAGTTTGGGTTCTGCCAGGGCCACTCAGCTCCTGACATCATTACAGCCTTGGTTTAAACATAGACAAAAGAGCTGAACTCCAGAGGTGAGGTGAGAGTGACAGTCATTGACAATAAGGCCGCATTTGACCAAATGTGGCATCAAGGACCCCAAGCAAAACTGGAATCAATGGGTATCAGGGAGAAAACTCTCTGCTGGTTGGAATCATACCTGGCACATAGAAAAATGGCTGTGGTCAGTCATCTCAGCTGCAGGACATCTCTGCAGGAGTTCCTCAGGCTAGTGTCCTAGGCTCAACCATCTTCAGCTGCTTTGTTCACCAATGATTGCACAATGTTCAGCACCATTTGCAACTGAGTCATAGAGACGTACAGCATGGAAACAGACCTTCAGTTCAACTTGTCCATGCCAACCAGATATCCTAAATTAATATGGTCCTATTTGCTAGTATTTGGCCTAAATTTCTTTAAACCCTTACTGTTCATATATTCATCCAGATGCCTTTTAATGTTGTAATTGCACCAGCTTCCACCGCTTCCTCTGGCAGCTCATTCCATACACGCACCACCCTCTGTGTGAAAAAGTTGCTCCTTAGGTTCCTTTTAAATCTTTCCCTCTCACCTTAAACCTATGCCCTCTAGTTTTGACGTCCCCTACCAGGGGGAAAAGACCTTGGCTATTCACCCTATCCATGCCCCTCAAGATGCAACTAGATCTGAATAATATGCAGGCTTGGGCTGACAAGTGGCAAGTAACATTCGCTCCACACAAATGCCAGACATTGACTATCTCCAATAAGAGACAATCTAACAACCACACTTTGATATTCATTGGTTTTACCATCACTGAATCCCTCCTATCAACATCCTTGGAGCTACCATCAACCAGAAACTCCACTAGACTTGCCACACGAAACACAGTGGCTACAAAAGCAAGTCAGAGGCTAGTAATACTGCAGCAAGTAACTCATCTCCTAACTCCCCAAAGCCTGTCAACCATCTGCAGGAGTGTGATGGGATGCTCCCCAATTGCTTGGATGGTAAGCTCCAACAACACTCAAGACCACTTCGAGCTAGAAGGTCAGGTGCAGCAGACTAAGTTCCTTTCCAAGCCACTTACCATTCTGACTTGGAAATGTATTGCTGTTCCTTTTACTGTTGCTGGGTCAAAATCCTGGAATTTCCTCCCTAAGGGCATTGTTGGTCTACCTACTGCTCATGGGTCTGCAACAGTTCAAGAAGGCAACTCACCATCAAAAAAAATGTTGCACATGAGCTCTCTCCCATCCCTCTTCGCCTGACTCTATCAGCATAACGGCTTGGTGGCTCAGTGGTTAGCACTGATGCCTCACAGCACTAGGGACCAGGGTTCAATTCTACTCCCATAGTCCAATGATGCGCAGGCTAGATGGACTGGCCATGCTAAATTGCCCATAGTGTTCAGGGATGTGCAGGTTAAGTGGATTAGTCATGGGAAATGTAGGGTTACAGGGATAGGCTGGGGGGTACTTGTTGGGCTGAATGGCTTGTTTCCACACTGTAGGCATTCTACAGATCTATAACCTGTGACTGCATCCTGCACATTTTTAACTTCCCCTTGAATATGTCTATGCTATTCAGTTCAACTAAACTTTGTGATACTGAGTTCCACATTCTAAGTATTCTCTGGGTAAAGAAGTTTTCAATTCATTCATGGAATTATTAGTTGAGTAAACATATATATACATATATATATTTATATAAATGGGTTATATGTCTTCTTCCCACCTTCAGCACACAGGCTTACCCTCAGAGCTACTTGCAAATTTAAAAAAGTTAGCTTTTTTGAGCTATACGCAATGCTGATGGAATCCAGTTTGATCATTTATATCTTCAGCCAGAACCCTCTCCCTTCCCCTGTTAATGATGTTATCATTATAAAATAACTCTTCCCCATTCTCAGATTTCATAGCCTTTAATGGAAATCTGCACTTGAAAAGCTGTGTGAAACATTTAAAAGGTTGAACTCCATCTCCTGACACTTGAACAAGTTATATCAGCTGAACAGCATAGATACCAGTGACTGTTACCAAATGCACAAGTTTGATTAATGATCATATGTGACAATGACATTTGTTCATTACTAATGGAGATAAGAAGTCAAAGCTAATTGGTCCCAGTAGATCACTATTATAAACCATTTCCCAATTACAAGGAAGAGGTTGACAATTTAATTAACAGAAATAAAAAGGCTGCACAGAGTATAAAACATCACATAAGCTGGTGTAAACAGGACAATTATTGCTGCTGTAGTTTGCTAAACACTCTCTTAAGTTGTATTAATGTATACTTTCACCAAGTTCCTGTAATAGCTTAGTTGGTTAAGGCAGTGGGCAGTTGAAGATAAGGATGAAACAAAATATATCTTGATTAATTTCAGATCTGCACTTTGTTATTCAAGGTAATTGTGCACTGTGACCATATATTTTGACACTGAGTTATAAGGTTAGCCAGCATTCCTGCTTCTAAATATTATCCAGCTATTTCTAATGGAAGGACCACATTTTTGACCATTATGAGTGGGCAGAGCTGGCTGACATTAAAATTGCCTTAGCTGAATAATTGGCAAATATTCAAGGTTAAAACATGAAAAATATGCACTCAGGTGAATTGTTTAGGTACGGGCCTCTGGAAGTTTTCCAGGCAACATGTCAAAAGTGTCAGTAATGCTGTGTCAGTAGTGCTGTAGTGGGGCAGGTTTAGAATAAGGGGGAAAAAAAATGGTAAGATCCATCCTCACACCATACCAGTTAGGAAGCAGCACAGATAACAACATTGCTGAATGCTGTGAATGTAGTTACTTTAAATGACAAATATATATTTTTTATTATTTCAAATAGC